GGTTCAAACAATTCTAGATTATAAACTGCCAACGACGAAACGGGAATTGCGTACCTTCCTAGGTATGGTAAATTTTTATCGTAGATATATATATCTTGAGAACGCAGCTTCTACGCAGGCCACCACAGATATAGCACAAAGAGATGTGTTCCTATTCCCTAATCTTAAATCACTTAGATCATTTCCTGGAGAGAATTATTCATTCTATAATGGTAATGTTAATAAAATTGGCTTGAAATATATATGAATTGTAAAATATTATTTTTATATTTTATTTTTATATATAGGGTGTTCTCAATGTAATAACAAAATTTAAAAATTTTATTACCCCAAAGTTTGATATATATATTTATTTTAAAATTTAATTAATTTTTTTAGAATCAATAATATTGATAACATTAAAAACAGATTAAATTTTTTATGCGAAAATGCTCTTTTTTTGAAGTAAGCATTTTCAATGCTTCTAACTTTGGGCGCGCTAGGAACCTTTGGTGTAAACCAATAAATAGGATAATCCTTGAATATTTGTACAAATTTTAAATATAAATATTTATGCTAGGAAATATATAAATTAAATGGTAATTGCTTTTCTATATATAGAGTTTCAACTATAGAAAGTTATTTTAATAGTGAAAATAAATATAACAAAAGTGTATTTAAATATTTAAATGGAAGCTAAAATACGTTTTTTTGAAACAATAAATTATGGAGGTTTAGAACAAGTGAGAGCATTAATAAAAGAAGGAGCAGATGTTAATGCAAGGTTTGACAATGATTTGATAGATAACTATAATCGTGGTCTTGGAGATTTTGATATGAACATTCTTGAAAGATATTTTCGCGGTTATATTATTCTCAATGATACCCTACTACATTCGGCTATCAATAGAGGCAGAGAGGATATCTTTAGACTCTTAGTAGACAATGGTGCAGATATTAATGCTAGAAATATAGATGGATGCACACCATTACATCAGTCTATCGAATTTCAGCATTTTAAAATATTCAAAGACTTAATTGAACAAGGTGCAGATTATAACACCAAGAGTGTTCATGGAGTAACACCTTTAATGATGGCTTCTTCAAAATATGATGAAAGATTTATAATCATTTGCTGAATCTTGGAGTCGATTTAGAGGCTGCAGATAGGAATGGCGAAACAGCCATATTTTATACAGTTGAGAGACATTTCAAAATTTTCAAGATTTTATTCGACGCTGGTGCTGATATCAACAGAAAAACTATAACTGGTAGATCATTATTGCATTCAGCATGTCTATCAAGCTCTATACAGGTGGTAAGTTTCCTCATAAAATTAGGGGCTGATGTGAATGAAAAATGTGATGAAGGATTTACTCCTTTATTCTATACGATTCCTTTTGGCATTGAAGTGACAAAGCTGTTGATACAAGCAGGCGCCATAATTGATAACGTAAGAATTGCAGGCACAATGGCTGTTATAACTCTAAACAAAACCTTCGTGAATACTCTAATTGAAGCTGGGGCTGATATGAATATAAAGGATATGGAGGGAAATACACCATTATATTCAGCTGCCTTAAGCATAACAGGCTTAGATATGAATACTCAATCATTTGCAAAAATTTCAGAATCTCTGAAATTACTTTTGAACTATTCTAGTCCTATTGATTTGAGCAGTTTTTTAAATATGATTCTGGCTCAGGACGGCTTTAATGAAAATACAAACGTGATGCCATTAATACAAATAATTATAAGGTATTCCCTTCTTAAACGCCCAACAGCAAGAAAAACAACGGATATTAACCTGCCAAATGATTTAATCAACTACTGGGATATATGCCTGAGTCAAGTTGCTGAAATGCAGAACCATTTGATGGGTAAGAGCGATATTACTATATACAGGTTCTTGACAGAAATGGACCGAAATAAGGTGGCGGGCTTCTTGGCCAATGACTCTACACGCCTAAAAGAATATATCGAGTTCAATAAGTCTTTTTATGAGCAAAACTTTACCAATTACTTAGAAATTATTCAAGAACATGTTAATATAAACCATAAATTTAGAATGTTACTAGCTAAATGTTTCTCTCTTGCCCAGAAATTTGAGTTTAAACAAGCGAATAAATTCTTCATTTTCAAGATTATCAAACAATTACATATATGGAACTTGGAAATTTATGCTCATGCCAACAAAAATATTGAAGACTGTAAAATTAACTCATCCATTAATATATAATTTTGTGTATATTTGTGTATACATATATTGAATATATATTTATTAATTATAATTCAAATAATATTTGAAATATAAATTTCCTTTTGTATATGAGAAGCTTTGAATTATAAAACTAATAAATAAAAAATATTTATTTGTCATTCTTGTGCTCTAATTATTTATGTTCTATCTCTCATTAAAAATATTTAACCCCTATATTTTTTATATTTTACAGATGACTAATGTTGTTTTTGTAAGATGACTTTCTTTCCTTAATTGGATAATATTTTATTTCATACTTCAGCACACACAACATTTTAAAAAATATATTTTAGGATAATTGTGTTAAATATAGCAAGTAAAAAGAAATATTTTGAGGTGTCGATTTTATATAACTGGCCAATATATTGACAATAACAATTGAAGAACTAAAACTTCCCAATATTTTATAATTGCAGTAATGGCAGTAGAATTTGTTTATTTATTTAAGTAACCCAGGTTCCTGGAGCGGTATTTGTTTATTTGAAAAAAAAACACATCCATACATTAATAATTTCATTTATTGTGCAAAATATTTGTGGCAGGCAAATATTTGTGAATAGAATCTTCAACTAAGATTTTTAAAAGGCAATAGATTAATGTTTGGCTTAAGGGACTTCAGAGCGTTAATTCAAATAATAATATTAAAGATTTATTCATGCAAGGTCATGCTGAATAGGCATCACTTGGTAATATTTCATAAAAGTTTTATATCTTAATTTCACATATAAATATTCCGATAGAAGTAAAAATAAATGAGTGATAAAACCAATGAAAGAGACTCTAAGAACCATAAAATCCAATTTTAAGTTAAAGACAAGCGAATATACAAGAAAAGAAAATCAAATCCGATAGACTTCACAAAATCTTCACCTAAGAAATGGAGAACAACAGTAGTATACCTCAGGAGGGCCCTGAGCCTTAAGACAATACACAAGATAGGACTCCAACTAACTTGTGACAATTTATTGATTTGGTAGCCAGTAAGAGTGATTACGTGGTGTATTATATTTAATTAACACATGTTTAAAACAAATACGACAGATTAAATTTTTACATTGAGATTTAATAATATATTGAAAGTACTTTCACATAATTTAACTGATATCTTTAAGCAAACTATTGAGCAATGACAAAATATTTTAACTTGGAACATCCAGAGACATTTTTTAAAAAATAAAACGAACATAAATCATGAGCTAACTCAAAATGCAACTCAGAATCTGGACATTTGAATAAGCAGAGCTGCTATAACAAATAATATTTTTGAATGGAAAAAACCTCGGGCATTGAAAAATTATACTTTACCATAACTCCGCCCTTGCCGATCCTAAGCCCGGATGTAAGGGCTCCTAATCAAGGTATACGGATAAGCAGCTTTTGTACTCCCTGTTAGAAGCGGCTGCACCTGGCGTCTGTTCCTCATGTCAGAGGCGGTAATTTATTTTGGAGCTAAGTCAGCCTGCCACTTAGTAGTGCTCCCAGTCTTAATGACAAAGGCAGACGCATTCTACTTCACCCACTGTGGAGATAAGAAAGAAGAAGAAGATATTTTACCACGTGTTATTCTGATTTCAAACACATTATCTGGGACAGAAAGATAAAATAATTTATTTCCCAAAAAAAGGTGATTACTCACCAGAGATAACCTTAATGATAGTAACATAGCAGTGCATTTTCCTAAAGAAGCTGAAGCCCTTGATTTTAAACTAATAACATCTAAAATATGTGATAATATAAGTGTCAAGGATAAACCTGTTTTTAAACTAATATAAGAAAATTTAATATTCTTTAAGACATGCATGAAAACGAATTTGTTGCAGAAGCTGACGGTCTAGCTTTTCTAATCCATATATTACCCAGGATCAAGTAAATTAAAGCTGAATAAATTTATAGGGAAAAACAGGCCAAGCATAGCAATTTAAGATGTGTCTCAGAAATATTGGAAAGAACTTTCATAGATTAAGAAAATTAATCTTATTTACTTATCTCTAAATATTTCAAAAGCCAGTAAATTCTCGCCCTTATTGAAGGAACACGAGAACATTACCACATAAACATGAAAGCGATATGAAATAGTTTTTATACCTTGAAGGTAAGCTGGTCATTAACAAACACACACCTAGACAACATGTGAGGAAAATGGTGTCGATTGAACAATTAGCCATATCTGTTGTAGGAGGGGTTAGATTAACCAAATCTAGCTAAGTTCGCCTGGCGGCGCCACCACCGATGAGAAGTGGTGGGCCTGCGCGGTCAGAGACCAAGAAGCAGGAAGAACCTTAGATCAAGAAGAAAGGAGGCGACGCCATTCAAACACGCGTCAAACATTTAACATTAAATCATTTATGTTTTAATAAAGTACTAAAATTCAATTCAATGTCAGCCTTCAATCATCCAAGTTAAATACACTATTTTAAACATATTATTTGAAAAGTTTTACTACCAAAAGGTTTATAAATAGTGTTTGTTTATTTACCTATAAGTTTTATTACCTACTAGACGTATGACCCGGCTTCGCCCGAGAATTCCCCCGATTGCAATTTCCTTCATACTGAAAGTATATCAATAATAAATATTTGAAGTGCCATAGAATAGCAATACAGAAGTAACACATAAACTTCAGGAAAAAAGTGTGTGTGATGGCAAAAATTGTATTATATTAGTGTTTAGGTATTTGATTTAATTAATATAGTAGATATAATAATATATATTTATATTATATATATATAATATAAATGAGTTTTAAAAATTGTAAAAAAAATGCATCGGCCGAGAATCGAACCCGGGCCGCTCGCGTTTCAGGCGAGCATTCGACCACTGAACCATCGATGCTTATAAAAAATGGCCATATTTGGGTATTCATTCCATTCCGGATTACTCCGCGTAAAAAAAAAAGTTCTTCAAATGAAAAAAAAAATAGCCAAAAATACTAATCAAAATGTAGCCGAAAATTTCTCAGGTTTATAAAAAGCGACATGCAAAATTTGGTACGAATTGGTTCAGTAGTTTTTGAGTTTATCGCGAAACAGACAGACAGAAATTGACTTTTATATATATAGAGATAATTTTTTAATCTATAAGTTTGAGTATCACCAAGTTTTTTATCTTAAAGATTGTTTATCAACAATAAGATTGTCTATCTATTAATTAAGCACAAGTCAAAGTTATTTTTATCATTTATCTACAACAGTTGTACTGTTAAATTAGCAGGCATTATGAAAAAAGGAAACCAATTAGCAGGACTGATCAGATCACCATTTTATCAGTTTCAACATCTCCTCAAACTGTTGACAACTTTAAATTCTCAAAAGTAAACTGGGAACAGTTTCATTTACTTTTGATTTTTAAATGAATGAAAAACTTAATGTAAAACTACTGTTAAACCTCAATTTGATTGTATCATCTCAGAAATCTATAAAGACAATTCCAATCGTGCATATGAACGATTCCTTCTCCAACAAATAACCATATTAACCCAACAATTTCCTGGTTGAAATTGGATTTTAATACACTGAAAATTACCAGTGGCAGTTAATTTCATGCAAATAAGAATGTGACATACCCTTTTTAGATAATATTAAAATCCACAAACAGATTATCAATATTGTAAGTAAAAAAAAGATGTTATAACACAAGATTTACAAGTTTTTTAAACTGCCACCACAACTTCAATATATGGGTTTGACTCAGATGGTGAAAGGCTCACAAGAAATCCGAGGGATACTCTCTTGCGAACCCTTGACACTTACTACATCCCAATCCACCAAATGCAAAATATATTCTTCACCCAGAACTCATTTCATATCTAAGAGAATATTTTGAGTTGAATAATTTTTTTCATCAGAAAAACCTTTCCTATTATTCAGAAATTATTCAAGAACATGTTCATATAAACAATAAATTTGGAATGTTACAAGCTAAATGTTTCTTTTCAGCCAATAAATTTGAATTTAAACACGCGAATAAATTCGTTTTATTCAAGATCATCAAACAATTGCCTAAATGAAACTTGGAATTGATGCCCATGTCAACATAAATATTGAAGTCTGAAAAAAAATCCAGTTATTAATCCATAATTTTGGGTGTATTTGTGTAAATAAAAAAATGAATATATTAATGTATTATATTTAAAGTAATATTTTAATTATATATTTCTAATTGTATATAAAATTTTTCTTGTTATAAAACTAATTAATAAAATAATTTATCCATCAATTTTTGTTGTTTTCAAATTGTTTATGCTATATCTCTCAATAAAAATATTTAACCCATATATATTTTTTTACATATTTACTGTGATGACTCATGTTGTTTGTACCATGACTTTCTTTCCTCAATTTGATAATATTTTATTTCCTACCTTTAGCGCACTTAAAAATATATTTTCAGATAGTGTGTAAAATGTAGCAAGTGGGAAGAAATATTTTAAGGTGTCGATTTTGATTAATGTGTCAATATCGTTAATAATAATTGTATAGCTGAAACTTCCTGTTGTTAATGTTGTTCTTTGTGCCTCATTGATCACGCAGACTGCAACTGAACTAAGTTCTTTATTTATTAACTTATCTTTCTATAAAATGGTTATATATCTAAGAATGTTTACAAGTCGAGTCTGCAGTGATGCAGGATCAACTTGTCAGTTCAATCATAACATGTTTCCTTCAAACAAAAATAAAAAAGGATTGCAGTTCTCCTAGTCTCTATAACGCAAAGGTTTTCTCACTGTTCTACCACTGCGGGTTCGCACACTAGGAAGAAGTAGATGATTCTTCACCTTTCTTGGCAACGTCCTCCCTTGGATCATATGCTCTTCTGTTTTCGGAAGTGGGTCTTCCATGATCTTGTATGTTGTCATCCATGGCTGTCCCTGCTTGAGATCCAGGAATGCTTGGACTTTGAATTGTTGGGGCAGAATCTTCTACACTGAACTTTCTCGGTCTAAGGTGAGACCTGTTCCTGCGGTATTCAGACCCAATTGGTGTTTTCACCATATATGAGCGTGGAGTTTCATGCTTTGGGGTCACTGTTGCCGGAACCCATTTTCTTTGCCTTTCTTGCAACATGATGTTGTCTCCTATTTCCAAAGGTCTCAAAATTATCTTTGGACTTCCTGCATACTTTTATTGATGGTCTCTCAATTTTTGGTAATTCTTTGTTGTGTCAAACTGTGGTTTCAACTGTTGTCGGGTGTATGTCG